TAGGAAAAGAGCAAACAGAAGCCAAAAGAGCGTCGCAGCCACGCAGGTACAGGTCAGGGTTATCAGCTCCAGGTTTGACCTCTCTGATGTGCCTGGGAAAATCAAGCAGCAAACATTTTAGAAAATAACCTACAAAGCAAGGGCATTTTATGTTTCTTTGCCATTAAAATAGAATACCAGGAAGGACCAGGTTCTTTTCAATGGGGTATTAATCTCTGTTTGGACTGGCTTGCAGAGCCTGGAAAAAAAATGGTCTCCCCAGCAAAACTGTTGTACTGAACACAGCAAAATTGCATTCAATCCATCTGTAAGTTTTTCAGTAAAATATCAGCTCGTCTTTGAGGTGCAGGAGGTGAGGTAAACCAGGCTGAGGATGGCTAGTCAGAAAATAATTTCCTTTTGAGGTGGAAATCCAGCTGCAGGGTTTTTTTAGCCAAACTTTCTGTGTGAGAATGTGTGTGGGCCTGCTCGTGCAGTTTCACACACACCCCCCCGCCCCCAACAGTGAAACCCATCTGGCCGAGCCCACATCCGAGAGAGGAACAGAGGTCTCAGAAGCGTTCAGTCCCCAGCAGCCTCAGGAGAGGATGGGGCTGTGCGGAGGGGACAGCTCTGCTGGCCCTTCCCTGGGGGCAACGCCGTGGTGTGAGAGCTGCTGACAACATGCAGGAGAAGCTCCAGGAAGGGCTTGTGCTGGTGTAGATACTGGTGAATCCAGGTGTAATCCCAGGCATGCTGCAGCGCTGCTGCTTGGGTTTTGTTGTCCAGGATGTTTGATGCCTTTCCTCGGGCTCTGACGTAGCTTGGCGAGCTCTTCTGTGCTGATGGCTGAGCCCTGCAGCCCGCACATCTGTCCCAGCCATGCTGGAAATCCACCAGCCCTCACCAAAAACCTCACTGGGGGAGAGCTGGGGACTCCCATACAGGCTTGCAGTGCAGCCAGCAGGATCCCATGAGCTCTCATTCCCATGGCCTGATGGATCTGGTCTGGTGTCTATGAGCTCAGCTCATGCAAAGCATGGAATGCGTGTCTGGAGCCCCAATCCCCATGGGCAGAAACCTGGGGCGCAGCGCCCAGCTCTCCCTACAACCCGCTGGTGCTCCGGCAAGCTCTGTGCCCTCAGGTCTCCTGCTGGTCACACCAGCAGCATGGGGCCAGGCTCCCTGAGGGGACACGGACTATCTCCATCCCCAGCAGCATCTCGCAGAACCCAGCTAGCAGGGAGCTGGGAGAGCTCTCCAAACCAGGGAACAGATTAAGCACAGAAAAGGAAAAACAAAAACGACAACGACTGAAAATGGAGCAGCAAGAAAACATGAACATTAGAAATCTGGAGAGTATTAAAGCCCACTGACAGATCTTTAAAAAAAAAAGCCAAAATAAAATTCACTTCAGACTGCTACTTGGGGACTTGTAAAATGGTTTCAGAGCAGTCTGTTTTGCAAATCCTGTGATCGTGTCAAAATACCACACTTCCCACAATATGTTTTCCATCTGATTGGTAGCAAATGCAAAAAACCCCCAAAACAACAAACCCTCATGCTCTGCCTCTTATTCTGATACAGCCCCCAGAGAGAGAAAACGAGAGGACAAGGAAGGGTAATTCTAAACATGATTTCACAGTAGTTTTTTCAACTGCACTTGCAGGAGTTTCAGACCCCGGGCAGCTCGGTGTTACTCCTGACACATGAAAAAGGGATGATTGATGGGCTGGTGGGCTTACCGAGTAGTCCAGAGGGATGTGCTGCCTGGTTTTAGGCAAGGCTACAGAGCTTTGTTCAGAGGTTGAATTGCTTCCTGTAGCTGTATCTTAACTAGCATAATATCTTCCCTCTCTAAAGGTGATAATCAGATTTGTGTTCGTGCCCTATATCTAAGATTCATCTGGCATGTCTATTCTGGAGCTTTGAGAATACAGCTCATTGAAGAAAAATACGACTGCAACTACAAATGGAGATATAAAGTATCTGTTTCTCTAAAATAGCAAGAGTTAATTTTTCACAAGTACTTTTTTAAAGACTTGATTTAAATATGAGACATAGTAATGGCATAACTGATACAGCATAATGCAGCTTGCCTATCTCCTGGCGTCAGTTTTCCTTTTACATATGGATACTCTCCTCTTGCTTCTGAGCAGCACCCGTGCAGATGGCAAGTAATAGTTTCTGACATTTATTCAGCAAAACCTGGAGGGGCTGAAGGTTTATTTGTTGCTGCTGCTCCATATGGCAGGACTCAGAAAACCTGGGAGGCATGGTACGGCCAGTCCTGGGCTGGAAGGCAGCAACTTCTGACCGCTACCGTATGCTGCCCAGGAGCTAGCAAAGGGACGTGAAGGTGCTGTCTTTGAAATGTCCGAGAGAATTTAGGCAACCAGAAAGCATTTCTCCAGGCTGGGGTTGGGCTGGGTTATCAAATGCCAGATTCCTAGTCTTGCTAAAAGCCTTGCAGAGCTGGCAGAGTGCCTCTCAGCTGGGTAGGAAAAGGTTTGATTTGAGGCAGAATAGGCAGGAACTCACAGAAGAGGGCTTAGGATTAGCAGAGTTTGGACAAGCTGTAAGCAGGACTAAATCCCTCTCCCTGCCCAGTCGCCCAGGATTTCTGGCTCCCCCTTACACTCCTGGATCTTTACCCACCAGCCACCTCAGCAAACACAGACTTTCCCCCATGTGCAGCTCTGCCCCATCCTCCTGACTGGCTGCGGCCAGTGGCATCCCCTTTCCTGCCCCAGAGCCCCTCCACACCGTCCCATGTCTCTTGCAGTGCTGCAGAGGCGTGAGGAGGGGGTGAGTGAAGAAGTGCCACTGTCAGCAGCCTCTCTCTCTCAGCAGTGACAGGAGCCACCAGGACTGTGCAGGCATACGGTGACAAAAGCCTGGACTAATGCACTGACCCCTCCAGGCATGAGCTCAAGCCTTGGCCTTGCAAGGGCTCTATCATTAGAATTTCAACTCTAAACATCAAGGTGCAGTTCTGTGTCAGGTGTCAATCAGGGAAAAAGCAATGCCTGGGGCACCAACACCACTCTGCTGCAGCCAAAGCATTCCTCACTCCTACACCAATGTGATCTACCCTGCTTAATTCATGTGGTCCCATGATAATAGCTGTGCAGCACTGGGATAGGTGCTCAGAGATGCTGAAGAATTTCCATCCCTGGAGGTTTTCATGACCAGGCAAGACAAAGCCATCACTGACTGGAGGTAGTGTTGGTCATGATCTTCATTTGAGATGAGGTTGAACTAGAGACCTCCAGGATTCCCTTCCAATCCCCTTTGGTGGTCCTCTGAGGTAACAGGAGTCTGTGTCCCCTGATGTTCACCTTTTCTCTCCCAGTCTGAAGGGTCTTCCAGGCTGAACCTCATTCAGTAGCCAAGGGAATTCCAGTTACACTTCATGGAAACATTCCTGATGACTTCAGAACCAGAGTGACCCAAGAGTCACAACAACTTTTGAGATACAAAGTCAGAGAGGTAGATAGATAGAAAAACAGATAGTTATTTAAAACCCAAATGACATTTTCATAGTGTGTCGGAATAGTTCAGTAAATGCTTAATTAATACCATGCTTTCCTTTTCATCAGCAGTGATTACATTAAGTTCATAGAATCAC